GTCTATTTGTGTGTGCTTACAATTAGTAATAGTCGGAAAATTATTATTATAAAGTCATACTTTTTCTCGGATTGAATCTGTTATATTTAAATAAAAACGTGCTCGCACGTTTGAAACAAACTGTATCAAAATAACAGTAGAATTGAAATCGTCACTGACCTTAATAAACTATTTACGAGTCCGTACGAATGCAAAATAAAGAAATCAGATGTAGAACTTTATTAAAAATTCTCTAATAAATAAATGAGATAAACAAAACTAACAAATGCTATATTCATTGTTGGATCTAAACAAGCTGAATTAAAACGAAAGTAGAATTGAAATCGTCGCTGACCTCAATAAATTATTTGCAAGCGCGTACAAATGCAAAATAAAGAAATCAGATGTAGAACTTTATTAAGCTTTCTCTAATGAATAAATGAAATGTACAGAATTAATATATGCTCTCTCTAAAATAAATAGAATTAAGACAGTAACAGCATTAGTAACACGAAAACAGAAGAATCGAATTCCTGTTATTTTCATAATCAAACAGGAAAACAATTCTATTTAATATAGAAACCTTAATATAACTTCCAACAAATGAAACGAACCGTATTATACCATTAGCGCAATACTGCATGGAAGTACGGAAGAAAAAAAGTACAAAAAGTATTCTAGCATCTTCTGAGAATATCTAGAAATAACTCGAAATGAAAAAGTTAATAGCGCTCAGCGCGTACAAGTCACTCGTGGTATTAAAAAATGCCTGAAATACGGGCACGCGCGGAAGTACTTCCGTTCTCCTGGCGCGACTGTCGAGACAATAGCCTTCCTCACTCCTTTCTACCCTCTTTATGTAGCACCAACAAAAGACTCTCGATATGCGACCTCGTGTGCTCTCACAATGCCTCCCATGTCATCTGTAGTCTCCATACGCCGAAGGTACATGCCAGAGGAGCGCGTCTGAAAAAAGGGGGGAGAGAAAAAAGGAAGGAGATATGACTGCCAGGCATGATAATTAATAACCGCTCTTCCTTCCCCAGCAAAGATATATTCCCGTTTTATTATTTCGCGTGTACGATGCGATTCTCTAGGATCGAATCGGGCTTGATGAATTCCCAGGAGAACAGGGAACGAGGAAAGTCGATAAATCGTGTGTAGAGCGAACACGCGCGCGCGCGCATCCGTGCTAGCTGAATCACTCGAAACGATCTAAACGAGATTCGTAGCTCCACTTTCCAATTTTGCCCAACTTGAAGGAGCCTTTTCACAGATCCTGCGAGATAGAAACGACCGAGTGGATAGGTAGGTACGTAAGAAGGTTCCACCTGATGGGAGCGAAAAGGTGTGTACTCAAGGGGATGGTATCGCGAAGGAAAAGCCGAGGGGAGGAATCGCCACGAGGAGAGGCACGATCGTCGGGGTAGCGTACGTGGCGAGGAAGCGCAATTTTCAAATCGAACCGCGCGTGCAACATCGATCCCTACGTTTCTCACCGTCCGAGACGCGGATCCGAGAGCACCACCAGGTTGACGAATTTACCCCGTGAGAGGACCCGGCCGAAGCCACGGTCGGTCGAGCTCCGTCCGTGCGGGGAGCGGAGTGGCTCGGTCGGTCCCGGTAATACGATAGAGTTAGGTAACTAGCTACGTTATACCTTGGCAAACCCATTATATCGCTCTGGGAATCCTTTGGGAAATAGTCTATAGCGCTGCCGGTCCCGAGCTTCGATCAACCGTGAAATGTAGTCCGATACGTATTACCGGGTGCAGTACCCAATACGTTTCAGCCGGCATCTGGTGTATAGGGCACCACCACGGCACGGGCCGCGTTACCTTCCGCCGCGCCGGCGGAGAGAATTACCGAGCCTACTATGCGCTTAGGATTCCGCCTTCGCATGGAATTGCGGCAATTTCTCTCTCGTTCGGCCTGAGCACGAGGTGCATGTAGTTTGTCGTTCCTAAACATGCGACATGCTAACATATTAACCCTCTACTGCTAATAGTTGCGTTTGCGTAACGTAACTAGCGGCCTCAACACGACCCCGATAGACGAATGACGTCATAATCGAAGGTAATTCATGTAGAACTAATTCCGCTCTTTCGGAAATTTCTGATGCAGCCTTGCAAAATTATAATCTGAGCTTAATAAAAATTGCAATAAGTATAAATGCATGATATAATTCTATTAATAAAATAATAAAAAGATATTGGAGACATTTCAAATTTATATCGATGCCACAGTTTACGTGTTTATTTTTTTAATCTGTTTATAATGCTCTTTAAGGAAATTGTAGCAGTTTACAAATCAATTTACGAAATTGTTGCTATATTATTGTAATTACGTTATACCTGCGACGGCAGATTGAAGAGCGATGTCATTGCTCGCGACTTGCCTCGGTATAAGGAATAAAATAAATCGTAACGAGTAAAAAAAGGAACGCTATTTTCGAAAAATTGTTCCGTTAATTCTTACAATCGATTATATGCGAACAAACGAATATTGACGATAGGAGAAACGTACAGGCGGGCACATCGCCGCGTCCCGGCCAGCTTTGGCGATGGAACTTTTATAAAAACGGCGCGAATGAGCGCTCGACAATATTTGATTAGATTTTACAAACAAACGCACTCGGACGAACGCGCGACATACACGTGTAATGAATTTACATCGCGCCCCGGCGCGATTGCCTCTTTTATGCATTTGAGAGAGAGCGCTTGTCCTCCACTGCCCACTGCCCTTCTACCCTCGCCCGCGAAACGATCATGAATTCAATGGTTTCCGATAACAGCGGGATGAAGTCGAGGGGGAGGAGAATATAAAACAAAAAGAAACGGTCGCATATATCGACAGTAATTTACATAGGGGGAGAGCGTTCCGAAGGTAACGCGCGACGCGCGCTTCGCCGTTGCCGGGAAATAAATGTTCACCCACTCGACGATCTTTCCGACGTACACACTTGAACGGAGTCGTCGTTGCGCACGCACGCACCGTGTGTGTCTTTTGAAATCAACAGGCTCGGTGAAGTTCTTAAAGTCGTCGACAACGTCGAACATTCTGAATAGAAACAAGTATTATTGATACGTCTCGAGTAGAAAAGTTTCTGACAACGTGCGCGTCATTATTCCAAGTCGTCGACGCGTTGAATCGCGTGCGAACAAAGTAAATATTTTTGCTTTTATTTACCGAAGCGAACGCTGCCGATAACTGTCGACATTTGCTTATGCTCGAAGTTAGAGTTCATTCTACAAACTTTTTGTCTTCGAAAGTCTAACACGAGCGGAAATTATTTATAATTTTCTTTTAATAATAATGTTAATTTAAATGCTTGATTTAAGTCAGTATCATATTGATATTAAGACAAAGTCGAAAATCGTATATTTTCAGTAATTTTATTAAAATTTTCTGAATTTCCCAGCTTCTGAGATAAAAAGACATTTTCTGAGATTTGTCCGAAAAGTTTATCTTATATCGAAGAAAAGGTTTAATCAAATAATACCTACGTTCTATTGCTTTTCCATTGCGATACGGTAAAGCACCAAAAGTAATACACCTGAAACGCGGTTCTCGGCACAACCCTTCCACTTTTCGGACTAAATACATGAATCCTAACACGGTAAAGCCAGGACGGTGCACAAATTCGCGAAAGGACACTAATAGCGGTCAAGCTGACTACGGCGCGGCGCTACAATACCGGTATCGGCGCGCTATTATCCGCAAGTTTATTGAATGTTAAAGTTCTATGGAGAATTCTCCATTTCGCGTTTGCCCGGCTATATTTCGCCGTCAGTAAGTACGTCGTTGCTACGTAGCCAGTAATTGGCACGTCAGGACAATGCGGCGTATCAGCGAAATTCCGCCACAGTGCTCATTTAATCAGAAACTACAACAGTACCCATCGAATTCCTTGCTGTTTAACGAATCAAACGTCGGGGGATACCTTCGAGTCGTGCTTATAGCAAAATTGACTTAATAATAACAGTCCCGTCAGGGAATATCACGAGTAATCGAATATAGCGTTGCTCAAGAAATATTCACTGCGCGACTTAATGCCGGTTATATACGTATTTCAATTCCAGAATTTTTTCGTTTTTTTTTCGCCAGAATTGTGTAACTTAAATTATGCTATTAATTATAAACATGAGTAAAAATTATCTTTTACGATCGAACTAAAATTATTTACAACTAAAATGTATTTCTCTAATCGCATTCTTAGTGCTTCAATATACGCACTCGTCTAAAAGTATTTTTATTTATGTGGAAAAAGATTGATAATAGCTACAAATATTTAATCACGATTATAAAAATAATCATTTTTAATTTCTTTTTTATAAACGCAACGCTACACCGTTCGTGCAAGTAACATTAAAGTAGATAGAGAGTGAAAAAAAAGGATTTAACAAGTAGTCTGTTTATGAAATCATATCGTTAAAAGCACATATTATCGAGGTCGTGCACCTTTCGGCGTAGCCGTATAAGGGCCTTACACGCGTTAGACGAGATAGGTGCAAGCGAAATGATTCACGGGCGACAGGAATAGAATTGTGACCGTTTCCCCTCACGTTCTTCTTCAGGGTCGGTGAAGAGCCTTGAAGAGCCCGTAGGGTCGGCAGTCGCTGTAGTACGAGGATGAGAAGCTCGTGCTTTCGAAAGCGCATAAATTTTTTCGACCCATTGAAAATCGTATAAATTACGACAATACGACCCTTTAGCTATTGATCGATTTAATTCGAACAAAGTAGTAGAATAGAAACTGTTCTGCATCGTTTTGTATTGTATCGTAATAATCATAGAGATTCATTTCAATTGCATAGAAATTAATGCGATAACATTAAAATGTAAAACTATGTATTTAGATGTCGTAAACAAAGGAAATATACCTTCGCCTAATAATGACTATTATGCGCGAAAGGATTAATCTTGATATCTCAGTTACTTTTTGAGATTCGCAAAAGAGACATTTAAATCATACGAAATACTTAATGAAGAACTACTTTCTTTTCCTGCTTACACTCAAGATATGGATAAGTTCTCTTCGTTCGCCGAGGACGTGACGCTCGCCCGCTTCTAGCGCATCTAGCGGCACTGTCAAGGTAAATTAATGTATTTCCATAATTCATTATAAATAATTCGTACAATTAATAAAAGTATTTCGCAATATTAATTCGAAAATTATGTTAAAAATTAATTTTAATTTTAAATTTGGTCGGACTCAAAGAATATAGTAAAACTCATTAGAATCAAACCAGAATACTCGAGAGATTCTTCGATAAATTGAAAAATGCAATGATTCTTCAATATAATTCAATGATTTTTGTTATTTTATACATTCCTATATAGAATAATTATGTCATGCGAGTTTTCCTTCCGAAAAGTAAATCATCTTTTTATGGTTATTAAATAGATGTATGTTTGAAACAAACATTGCGATTTTGTAAAGACTATTAATTTTATCATTTTAGAACATTATATCGTCCATTTATTAGACAATCCTCGTGTATACGCGCTGACCTTAACGTTTTATAAATGTTTTACGATTGATATAGAATTGATTTTTACAATCCACGATCTGCCTCGAGTGCGCGAATTATCTCGAAAACAAAATGCGAGACTGTCAATGAACTAACGCGCTCCAACAATAAACAAACCCCTCAGCGCACAGCGAAGCGCCCGCGGCATCCATGTATTCGCCACTGATTTCGAAATATTTAGCGATTACCCCGAAGCGTGAATCCGCGAACGATGCCGATCCGTCCGGGCACATTTATCTAGATAATTCAGCGCGCGCGCATGACACCAATGAGAGGAAAACTAACCATCGATCTTCGTTGGCGTTCTTTCTGCTTGCAGCTTGCACATCGGGACATTCATCGTGTTTTGTTTTGTTGTAGCCTCACCCATCCGCCCGCCCCTCGCTCCCTATTCCCATACAGATTCCTGCATCCGCGACTTCGCCCTTCGCGCTCTTCTCGGGCTCTCTTCCTCAAGCGCGCCTTCTCGCGCTTCCACCCTTTACCATATTACTATCATCCACTGATTCGCGTAATCGTCTCGAGCATTCGACGCTGCTCGCCCACCGTCACTTTTTTCCAATTTCGCTCCCTCGAACCGTCTTCCTTCTATCCGTCATTCTTTACCTTTATCGTTATTCTACGTTTGGTTTGCTGTCTACCGTCATCCACTCGACATCAATTTGCTTCGAGACGACGATGGCAGCCACCAGCAGAAAATATCATCGTTTTTCAAAGGTAAGATGCAACTTTATTATCATTGATTTCGCGAGAAACCTCCGTGAGATTTTCGTATTTCACATGAAACGGGGTGTCTCACATAGCGTGACCTTTTAATTAGAATTTTATGATCACTTTAACGTGTATCTTCTCTTAACAAATACTGACAAGGAGTAGAAAGGAGTAGAAAGGAGTATTTCGCAAATTTCTAATTTTCAGTATTAAATATCTCGACGAGTAAATCTTGTATTGAATTTGTGTTAAAATATAAATTTAAGTTGAAATCTAATGAAAAATTAAGTTTTATTTGTATCTCCTTAAAGTTTCTCTATATGCCAAAGCTCTTTAATTCACAATGTTGAATAATTAAAATCAAATCAAAATTAATTTAATACTCGATTAATTTAAATTAAAAAAAATCGATTATTGTCTCGACATTAAAATAGCCCCCATTCTTCTTAGTTTTCCTTCTATTATCTATCGTTAAAAGAACACGCAGTGGTCTCGCGACACTCTGTGCACGACAGCAAAAAGTTGCCGCAACAGCCACGTCACCCTGCTGATGAACAGAGGAAGACGGAGCTGCTTTCGCGGCGCGCCGATATAAAGGGGTTCAATGGGTTCCCCCGAATGATTTATCGTCCTGGCGAAGGGTAGCTGAGTCCTTGCGACACGAGTCACGTGCCGTGTTCAAAGTTGAAGTTGCGCGACTCGACGAAAATGATCTTCATTGCCGTTCGTGGCTGCGTCAAGAGTAAATTTCGTGTATACGACCTAGCTACCTGACTTATGGGAGTATTTTCGTCTATAATTATATATCCCTTTCGGGTTCACCGTAATTCATGTGAACGCTTTACCTCACGAGATATCGCCGGATTGCGAAGAAAAATAAGGGAAACGAAGTTTTGATCCTCGCTCTTCTTACAATTCGCGTTATCTTACGTTCCTTCGAACACGCTCTTACGTCTACCAAACCCTTGAGAGAGTCACAATCGAATATCGATAACTGTTCAAAGAAAGTACGTATGTACTCAGAGAACATACATATATGTATAACTATATATCTCACGCAATAACGTCCAGTGCTCCCCGGTGTCCTTAGACGGCGCTACGTCGGGCGGAAACGATACGGCTGACCGTTTTTCGTAAAGAAAAAGCCACGTAAAAAGAAAGCCAAAGGGTAAAAGCTGAAAACTACGCGCGGTAAGAAAAGAGACCTGTGGGTATACGAGCGAGCCGGATGTCTCTGCGGAGCTCTTTGGTAAGCTCGTAGCAGTCCTCGCGCGATGCCGAAAGCTCTTTGCGGAAAAGCACCGACTACGTATCCTTGAAACGCACGTCGCATAAACGCTTCGCGTATAAGAGGTACTCCGCGTAGCCGGCCACGGAGATACACGACAGGATGCCCGTATATTAAGGAGAAAAATACGAATCTCGCGGCGGAACGAACGTCGGGCAAAAAGTTTTTTCCCCGCTATCGACATTTTCTTCGTCTTCTGTCGACAGTGCAAAATTGATAATCCGTACTATTTTACTCGCACTTGTATTATATGCAAGAATGTCTGTCTTAGTCTTGAATTAATTATATTCAACATAATATTTAGTATGATGTAAAAATAGAGGTGAGAAATTAGTTAAACTGCGATTAGAATTCACTAATATTGGCGAAGGTAACTTTTAAGATAACACGACAGCGTTGTTATCGCACATCGAAACGTTAGCTTTGCTAGTTTCAACTATGCCATGCCTCGAAGTGATCGCACACGTATCACGTGTCTCTTCGTAGCTGAAGAGAAGGAACGTTAGATGAGCATTCAGACATGTACATGGATATACAGATGTATGTATATATAATCTTAATGCGTCTGTAATGGACTTGCAAACTATTCAACGCGCGCGCGAAACTCACGTTAACTTAAGCACGGTTACAAAGCCGATAGTTGTTAACTTCCGGGATAAGACGAGAGAGAGCCTTGAGACACAGTACAAGTGCTGGTTACCATGTCCGTTGGACCAGCCAGAAACTTCGCCGAAAGCGAAGGTCGTTAATAATTTAATCAATAAACGGATATATAGTTTAAACGAGCAATAAAATGTTTTGAAGACAGATATGAGGCGATGCTGATTACAGCACAATATATTTAAAAAATAATGCAAATTATGATCACGATATCCGAATGTCTATAAAGATTTTTGAATATCCAAGATTTCTTTCTGTATATCTTCATCGTGATAATTTCTTATCTTTTTAATGAGGGAGAATTTTGCTTTCATGTAATTAATAATTTACTTATTTCTAACGACAAAGACGGAACTGTTTTTTCTCGGGAGAAATATCGTATATAGATTTACACAAATAATAAATATCTTACGTTTGAAGTAAACTGACAAGATCATAGAAATCAAAATTAAGGAATATCATAAAAGCATCGCACGCTATATAGAAAATGTGTTTAAATAATTGCTTGTTCTTATTTTATTTCATGTCATCGAAGAATAATCATACTATATCATCTATGGCTGTTACGTGCGTCTAAAATTTTTTAATTGTTTCTGTCAATAAATTCGATAGCACGAACAAATTGAAAAATCTTTGTCCCAAACGCGACAATTATAATTTATAATATATTAATTTTTAATTAACTCCAAGTCAACCGACGTTGTCCCATAGAATCGATAATCCGCGTCGGAGTGTCGTGCGACCGCACAACTTTCCCAAAAGTAACAAACGATGGTTCGGATATGTCAGGCTCGGTGATTAACGATAGCTCGCGGTTCGTGTTCTCTCGCTCATTGCTAACGATCACCGTCGATGTCAACGTGATTCATTTCATCAATTATCGCCGACCGGGTTCTCGCTGGCGAGACGATGACGGCCGAATAATTTGCCGATGATCCTCAACTACGAGCTTGTCCGGTCGGAATTTTACATAGCTATAGCTGATCGATGACATTTTATCGAACTCTTATTGATCAAAGTGTCTATCGGATAAAATAATGGTTAATGAACGTATAAATTTTTTGCGTTGACTTATCCTTAATTCTAAGCAATATATAAATATATGTTGACATAATTGCAGATTTGTTTAAATTCTTTTACGTAAGTGTAATACTCTGGTTATTTTAAACTTTGAAACAATACCTTTATGATTCGATAAAAATGAAAGATAATTATAGAATTTGTTGTTTCAGTAATAATACTGATATTCTTGAAATAATTCAAGTTGAATCAAATTCGGATAAAATGCTTATCTTCCATGAACTTTAAAATCAACTCGGACGTGATTGCCAAATAAGTAAATTTTCAATCTTCATCTTTACTCTTCAGATTGTTCACTGTCTGGTTAAAATGATTAAAATTCGAGGATTTGTCAATAAAACGGTCCTTCCGACGTCAACCGACGCAAGAACCGAACTCGACGATCGTGGATAAGCTTAATGGTCCGTTCTAATTAAAAGACCCATTATCGTCGCTAGGTACTTGACAAAACCGAATCCGCAAACCGCATCTATTACCTAATTCTAACTGCTTGTAATATGCGAATGTGCCTTAGCAATTTTCAACAACAATTTGCGAGGTCGAGAAAACAGAAAACAAAGAACGATCGAAGTAAATATCGTCAAGAAGTCATTAGAAAGACTTGATTACCTTGATTAAATAATCGTGAAAACGGTTAATTAAGTTCACAACAATCATTTTCCAGAGGTTAATTCTTCCCAAGATACTGGTTCGTTAACTACGCTAATCTCAATTAAACTCTTTCTCTTTCGAAAAGCATGACGCAAGAAATTGAAAGACAATGAATTTGGACATCTGTAAAATATTGCTCTAAAAAAATAGAGAGAAGATTCGCAGCCTTCTATCATTGAATAATAGCAATTCTATCGTTGCCAAAATTTTATATATTATAACAGTTTTTATCTATATTGTAACTTATTTATTTTCGGAAGTTTACATCTTACGATAAGATATCATAATGCCTCGCTATTAAAATAATATCTATTGTTCCTAGTTCGGTCGTCATCTATAATCAAGGAGAAGCATCTGATGCCTAGATAGATTTAATGGCTATTCTCCCATTCGAACTTAATCATTCAGTGTTTAGCTTTCAGCAAACTCTACCCCCCTCTTCGCTTTCCCCCAATCTAATAGTTTCCTCGGAGGAGACCGGCGACTCCGATGCTCATAGATAAACTTAACGGTCCCGGGTTAATTAGGCCGGAAAGAGCCGACGGCATTAGCGGCACCTTTCGTGCTACAGGAATAATTTAGTCCACCACTTCCTGCCGCAGGAGAGCCTCAGGAGACGAAGCGAGCCGCCGACCAACGTCATCCTCACACACATCGCATCCTGGACCGTCGTGAGTCGAAATTTCGCCAGCTAGCGAACCCTCACGGAAACCGTCGCACTGAGCGTCCTTTCCCGTAGGACAAAAAGATCCGGAGGAAGAGATACGGCGAAAAGTTTTAACTATGCGTCCGGAGCTCTTCGTCCTGGATCGCGAAAAAGGTAAGGACAAGGACGGTGATATGTTAATTACGACTCCGTTCAAAAGAGAAAGTTTGGCCGAAAGTTCGGTGAAAACATTCTTTTCCGAAGCAATCACAGAGACGCAATCAATACTCGGAATAAAGAAGTCAAAAATCAAAATATCCTACTTTTCGGGAAAAATAAGTTAAAATTAAAATATTTTAACTTCCGGTCGAATTCCCGGAATTTGTTACAAACTGAAATTTTCTCTAAGTTTTTTTTTACTAATATTGTACAACCTACAGCAATGACCTAATTCAAAAATTTCACAAAAAAGACTAACTAAATTTTTACGAAAAAATCAAATAACCGACTATTGTTGATTCAACGTTACAACGTTAGTACATACAGATACAATCGTGTGTTATATAATTTATCAATACGAAAGTTTTTCTCATGAATAACTGACCTTATCGGCAACTAGATATCGATCGCATTTAATCGATTAGAATGATTAGATACTTGAAGTACGTTTGTAAAAATAACCAGCACGCGAGAAGGATAAAACGGAATTTCCATTCGAATGCTCCCACCATTCGTCAAAGTAAAGACGGAATAAACTATCGTCGAGCACGTCGATTCCATTATCCGCCGTTACGGCCGCTCGTTTGTCGAACGACGAGAGTGAAAATGAAGAAGACGGCACGAGAGATGTTCTATTATACTATACCGAGCCTCCGTGAGAAAGACAGAAAGAGGGCAACGCACAGAGGGTAGAGCACAGACACGGACGTGAGGCACGAAAGGGGCATTGAGGGAAGCCTTTTGGTCTCTCGATGCTTTCCCATTATCCCGTGGTACCGCGAGCAACAACCGTATCGAAACGATATTGCGGATATCACGGCACGAGAGAGAAAAGTTTCGTAGAAAACTGTATCGTATTCTTCCGCTTCTTTTTCCCCGGCTTTGCACACGCTAACCGAACCGCTGAGATTGTCGAACTCCGAACGGCAAACTTCGAACATAACTAACCGATATCAAGAGTATATTTTTCCGCATTTTTAATTTTTATCACTGCATTCCTGCATATCACGTTGATTGCCTAATCACATAGTTTTCAAAGTAACGTCCAACATAAATATTTCGTATGATATATTGAGATTAAGAAAATTGGTAGGATATTTATCTTCCTGGGGATTAAGATAGGATAACAAATGGACAACGACGGACGAGAATGATCGAAGAATCAAGACAATATATTTTTTGCTTCCAAACACATTTTATTTCACAAAATGTTCGTGCTGAACAATTCTTACCGTTTGCTTACAGACTATCGCATCAAGTACTCGTACGCTGCCCAGAAGAAACCACCAACCCCTTCTACGAATGGGATTAGAAAACTTCAAACGACGCACCTTGCCACCTCATCTGCAAGAAAACTTCCTCCATTCGACGGGAAAAAATCATGAGACACGATAATGAACACGCGAATGAACGTGGAAGAGGATATTACGAACTCGCTGCTACTTATAATCCATTGCACTCTGGTTGTTTCCGTGGAGACATTATAATAGTTAGCTTCTTATAAACACCGTGGGTACATATACCTACTCATTGATTATAGATGTACATTGTTACATCAACAAATTCTAATCATTGAAGGTTTACCCATTAAGTATGTATTTTCTACTAAATCAATCCTGTCGGTCATATTTTATATTAGTATTCTAATACGTCTAATGACTGTCAAATATCCTGTTATTTTTCAGTTCATATATTTCTTAGTAAACCATGATTTTAAAAAAGAACTCGATAAGACAGTAATTTTTCAATCAAGATTATATCAAATTTGCAACCTTCAGTAAAAAAGATGGCAACATTACACAAATAAATTTGCTAATACTATTTTCTTCCACGAAAACAATCGATTTAAAGTCAAACGTCGAAACGAGGAACGAAATCGAGGGACGAAAGTGCCCTCCTGATTTCTGGTAGGACAGGAGAGGTGTGTCAAAGGTTCTCGTAACGCTCGTTTCCGGTGGGGTTTGCACAAGGAAAGCGGAATAAGAGAGGAAAGCCGTCGTAAAACCATACCATAGGGCACGCTCAGATCGACGTAGTACCACGGGGATGTCGTGATATCATTTTACGGGATTGCAGGAAGAGGGACTCATGAGGATGATCCCGAGTACCGTAATAGGATTTTCGGGATCAGAGCTTTACGCAGGAAGGATTGCGGTATCTTTCGGGCACCAAATAACGCATAACGCGAAATTTTCAGCTTCCGCAGACAGGATGCAGCTTTAATTAACAGAATGTCCTACGATCACGTAAACCAGTGAAATTTTAACTATACACCTGACTTGGTTGATAACAGAAAACGAGATAATAAATATCATATCGTTAATTACACGTCGTTCATAAAAACAAATTGAGATTTAAATAAACTTATAATTAAGCTATTTTTGACAACACTAAACTTGACAATTCTATTAATAATTAAGATACTTTTGTTTTATATTATTATTTTTACTTCGCGTCTGTAATATTTTTCCTAAGTAAAATTAGAGAGAAAGATTTTTTCTTCTTTTATTATGTTAAATTTTCAATTTAAATGTTAAATTCTTATAATTTATATACACTTTCTCCAACATTTATTTCGTATTTACTTCATAAACTTTTTACTTTAAAAACAGTATATTCTTTATACATGAACTTACAGTTCGTATAACTTACAAGAAAAAACACTGAAAGTTTGGACACTTTTGTTATACATGTACTTATGAATAGGATGTTTTCATTATCTCTATTATATATATATTTTTTTTCATTTCAATCACAATATTAAACATTTTTAATTATGTTCCAACATATTTTAATTATCTCTCAACATTTTAAACTATCTCAGCTGCGTTATGCTAACTTTGGGATTCAAAGTACAGACATAAATCAAGTCTCTAAGAAGGTACTAAAATCGTGAAGATACTAAAATCGCTGGCTCATAAAAATAATAAAACGGTCAGCTGAAAAATTTGTATATACAGCCCGGAAGATATACGTCGCAACCGTTTTGTATGCTAAGAAAGGATCTGGCCAACCGCGAAAAGACGTTCTGCGACTCCCGAAGAGATTTCGCCGAAAAGAAATCCGGCCTCAACGACGCGTTCAGGGCACTCCTATTGTACAAAGTAATCCCTCGTACCCTCTTTTTAGGCGTCCGGCGCAGTGCGTCAACTCTCGAGCGATCGAAACACCGAGCAAGCTCCATATGTCGATTCGTCTTTTCTATTTTCCGCTTACAGAGCGAAAAAAACACGAAAGTTAAGTAACAGAAGACGACGATGATGAAACTATGCGAGAACGTCGTTTCTACTACGTTTGTCGATCTCAACACAATTATGTCGTCACTGTTTGACGATGAAATCAGATGTACTTTAATTAACGAATCTCGCAATTAATATTGGCGTAAGAATAGCTTCCGCGGCCAAAAAGAACAAGTAATTGCGTTTCATCGTTACTGTAATAACAAATCATAATAGCGAATAAAAACAGAGCAAGAATAGAAATATCATTAAGTTACGATAATTATGTCTTCATCGCATTGTTTAATGATTTGACTTTACAGATAAATGTTGCATATTGACAAATTTATTAAAAAGAAGATATAAGTGCATATTGTTATCAAAAAGATCCTAGTTTACGAATCAGAAATATCTTTCTTGATAAATTTTCTGACATATCTTTTTAGTATCAAATTATAAAAACATCTTATCGCATAAGTGGATAAAAATTCTTAAATTTCATGAATCACTTTTGACAATCAATTTATTATTATTAATTATTTAAATTACTCGTGTTTTTATTATATTAAATTTGTCCATGTAAACCGCCGTCCCAAAATTATTATATTAAACGTTTCAATAATTCGAGAAAAAACTTACAAAGACGCTTTCAATAAATCCAAAATCTTTTATGCTATTTGCTGACGATGATAGTCGTATCGAGAGGATGTTTCGCATTTCCATTGACGAGAGTGGACGCACGCGCTAACTTTTTACATTTTAAGAACATACACGATTACGTGTAGATAGTTTTGTGGGCGAACAAAGCGAGCAGAGTGTTCCGAGCCGTTCTCACGTGATGAGAAGCGGAAAGTACTTTACGACTCTAGCTATAAAAGAAGAAAGACTCTCGAGTGAGAAGAGAGATCGTCGTAGCGTATGATGTCCGTGCAAGCTTACTAGTGCCGCCGTGCTTTTTCGTTGAGAATCCGTTTCGTCGCTCGTACCTAATCGAACGATTTGTATGAAAGTCATCGTGAGTCATCGCGAGACTGGCCGTAATAATCGGTATTTCGCGACATCAACGAGCGAGTTTCGATTTTACAGCAGCGAAAATGATATGTTAGAGAAAAACTGACATTATAGACTCCCATTTTTTGAAAGTACTTTTAAAAGTACTTTTTCTATATAATTCTATATAATTTAACAAAATTATATAGAATGTTAAATTGTTATAATATTATTATATATTATCTATAATTATGTAGAATAACGTTAAAATACCGTTTAAAAACGGCACATGATAAAAAAATGTAAAGCGATTTTTTTGGCCATTTTCTTAATCAACTAAGATATATAATAAGGAAATATAATATTATGTATATATTGATGAACGCTATTTTTATTCACTTATCGACATTTAACTGACATGGCCGCAATGAAAATTCTTCAATTTGCTCGCTTAATATCGTAACTCAGTTCAAATGCGCAATTACCGTGACGAAACGGCGAGTCCGCGAATAGTGAACAAAAGAAAGAATGTATTTTATGATATTTTACGCATAAAAGAAAGAGGAACGATCGTAAATCGAAATATAGCGTTAGTCCAAGGTAAAATTAAGTAAGTAGAGGTGTATAAATAAAATGACAATTCGGGGCGTGCCGTTTTGCGCACGCCTCGCGCGGGGACGCCGCGTCGCGTCGCGATCGAACGCGATTTTACATTGTAAGGAGAATCGATTCTCGGTCCACGAGAAGTGGATGGGACCGCGGAACGGTGGTTGAGCATATACGTTGCGTCCGTCACGTCGGCGATTAATTAACGATGGGACGTTTACTTTATCCATTATCGTAGCCGGTATTAGTACTTTACCGATGGCGCTTGTGATTTCTGCCCTCTCGATCCATGAACGTTCGATCGTGATAACGATCGTAAGGATCTCCGCGAATTGCATCCGCGCGATTATACGGAGGCTCGTGACACGATTGAACGGTCCGATCGACGACACTTTCGCGAATCTTGATTAACGCGAATCACCGTTTCGCGCGAACGATGCCCAATCACTGGTATACTAAGCGCTACTGTAAAATATTGTATATTATTTCGCGTTGTTTATTTTTCAATGTTTTTACTAGAAACGCGTTTCTACGGTATTTAAAAAAGAATTACCGCATACCTAATGTTACTGAAGATCGGCGCTGCTCCGCTACACCGTATAGATTGCGAATTGCGACCAAAGGAAATGTTTGTCGCGATCCGTTAAAAATTACAGAACACAATACGAAAAAAGATATAAACGAATTGAAAAGGGACAAATTTATTGTCGTACAGATGTTGTATCTAAATAAGTGTTGTTATTGTTACTTGTAAAATATTAACAACAAAATTGCATTTCAATAATTGAAAATTTTTAGAGTTATTATTGCTTTGTTACATTTTAAAACTTAAAATCAATCTCAACAGCATCATACGCACAGTTCTGTGCATTAAAAATTTATAATTTGCATGTAACATCCGATTCCAATGCTCAGTGTTATAAATCCCATGTTTTCTTCATTATATTCAATTTCTTTTTCAACTAGCTTTTTCTAATAACAATTTCCATTTACCTAATTTACATCGCGAGAGAACTTTAAATAATTTACGACCCAGCAAACTCCATTATCATCATTGTCCGCTCTTTTACGGTGTTGCGAACCAGCGGGATAAACACGTTTGTAAAACTGCAGCGTATCTCCAGCAGCTTTCGCAGTGTGTGAGCTAAAAAAACGAATGCAGAGCAAAACTAGTCTAGGACACATTTAAAGAGCGTATGGCTTGGATGCGGAGAATGTAATGTCCGACTTTGGCATAAATCACGTGCTTTTGATGAGAAACAGAATATTTCGAGTAGAAAATCTTACAAACATCTAATTATACGCGGTCATATTCGCGAAACGACGACGTTAACAACTACAGTCATCTCTTGCAGAATGTGTAAAATTCCACGAACTGTTCGCCGAACATTCCTCTAGTTTCATCAAATTTCATCAATTTGCTTATCAAAAAGTTGGAAAAAATTGATACCGGATATATTAGTTACCGCAGAATGTTACTGCTACGATAAATCGCGGAAATATTCATTGACGTTTCGGAAAATTTCTGAAGAACACGTGTTAATGTAATTTATTAATGTAATTCGCATAAATACAAAATACTCGATATTTGTAAAAATAGATCCTTGAAATTTGAAACGTTCATAAAAGGGCATCAAAGGTCCGGGATATTTTTTACAATCTTGAATGCTCGAAACTATTTTCTCAAAAGTACCGTTATGTCTCAAAAAAACGAGCCAAGCGGACGAGAATCGGACGTTTGCGTTCCGCGATAGTCTTTATAGCAAAAAGACTACGCACTATTAATAATATGGCTAATTCTAGCAGCACGAAATATTAACGTTAATAGCGAAATTATTATAAGGGAGACGTAACGGCGAATTACTAATAAAAGTATAGGTCGCCATCGATGTTTCCCGAAACAACCTCCTTCGACGAAATGGCGCTCGGAACAGTGGCAGATATAAATGAAAGAAGTGATACTCTTTTATTCCAATAATTGGCTACTCTTTGACGAGAACAACGCCACATTTTACGATAATCGCCTAATGAATAGTACGCAATAAAAATGTTACGCTCTCTATCTGAAAACTATTGACTTCTCCCTACGCTAAAAAAAACAGATTTCATTTACTACCTTTAATTATTACGCAAAATAGAATACACGAGTTTACAACTGCAGATTGCAATGTAAAAAAAAAAATTGAAATATTTCTAATTAAGTAGGTTGAAATGTACATAGAAATTTTGATTTAAATATAACTAGTTTATCCAAAAATAATGTGGCAGATTAATTATCTAAAATGGTCAGATATACATGAAAAATATACAACTTGGATACTTACAATAATAAAGTATCTAGATACAAAAATAAAATGCTCATTCTTCGTAACATCTTCATAACAATTCTTACAATAAATTTTGCTAATTTTTTGATAATTTATTTTAAGATTGCTTTAGACTCTTTACAGGGTTTATTCCAGACAAATATGAAATTTCCAAAACATGTAGCGGTTATTCGAATAAGACGCAAGCATTCATTCATTCATTTAGATTTGTCATCGAGGATCGAGTGCCGATTAACGGGCATCGCGGACAAATGATAGCGTGTGTAAGGCACAAGTTTTATTACTGAATTTTGTTTCTATCCAAGTGAGGCAGATTATAATCGAATACGTTACACTTGGATTTATGGGTAGGTTCGTAAAATGTGATTTACCTGAATTAAAAGAGCATGACGCTGAACCTTCGAATTATTTTTTTCGATTATACGTTATTTCATTTAAGATGCTTTAGAGATGGAACATAACGCGAGGAATTGTTAGGAAATGGTTGAGACTAGTATCAGCGTCGAGATTTCATGTGAGAGAAGCTTTATGCTGGAAGACGCTAACGTTAGGTGATTATTATAAAGCGTCGACAAGCGAAAATACTTTATTCTAGTCGTATCTCTCATGCTTTGCCAAGTAAGCAAATGTTGTAACTCTTGTGTTTAAATGTAACGGTCAATTATGTTTTAATAAAATCTGCCAAGATTCTCTTGTCAGTGTTCCATGTGTTTTCCTTACCCTTTTTATTCCTATGACCCTTATCTTTTCTTTCATACAAAAGTAAGCTTAGACCTACATTTATAACTAAAGTTTTAGAGTACTAAAAAAAAAAGTAAAAATTAGAATTTATTTATATTTTAATACCTTTTAATACCTACTTAACGTTTTAAATTTATATTGGCCAAAATATCTAATAGAACTTAAATATGTTCACTTGTACTTTCTTCTGGGTACTCTACTCACATTTAAAAGATCTGTTGGTTTCTTGTTTAAAAAAATATATTCGTACAAAATGCGTTGAGAATAACTGACATGTTAGTTGTAAGTATTATATTAATTAAAATCTTATGACTGTCATAGATTGTAAAAGAGTATCGCTATGCGATTCAACCGGACCAGTTTCTATGGAGTAACAATTAATAGAGCAGTCTTTGGTAATGGTGATTGATACATACGCAACTGACATAAAATGGAGTTTGTATTTACAATTGTTATATGCAAAAAGGCAAACACTTAGGCTCACGTATTTTTATAACTGACTACAGTATCCATTTTATGTAAAGAAGTTGAGAATGATCTAAGTTGTACCTCTTGACTGTTTGCAATAAAAACTGGCTGAGTCTCGTCCCACTGGTTGGGAATATTACAGTCCGGTACCGTGTATGTAAGTATATCGAAGGAACACAGGCAATCCAAGAGTGGCAGAAAGCTCACTGTACCTGCAAAAAATACTTTGTATTATGACCTGAATGCGTATGAACGAACCTGAATAGAAACATTGCAGCATTTTGTTCAAAATCACATTAGACGCTACCTGTGATCTGACGTATCACTTCCCGTATCTCCTTCTGTATAGTTTTCACATCCTTAGTCCCTATTTCAGGCAGATCGGCCTTGCCGCTGCCGTCCGTTCCGTTCTCTTTCTGGTCCTCGTAGTCGACCTTAAAGTCCCACTTCTCCAGCACCTCCTTCGTATTGACATTCGTTATGACGAGCGTGATCTTGCGCACCTTACGCTGGACAAGCCACTCTTGGATCTGTCCCAGCACGGTATTCAGGAAGGACGTGATCTTCTCGTCCGTGGACGTGAAGATGAACAGACCGAAATGTTCGGAGGGTTGAAACGTCTCCGGCGGATATATTCCTCTTTGATAGAGTATACTATTGACCCCATAAACTGCAACGAAGAGTAACAATCAGAAAGAGGTTAGAGGTTACCTAAAACCTGAATTCGACCCACGAAATCGTACTTACGCAGGTATTGCGTGACCAACTCGGCGGAACCTTTCAGAGTAATGCACTTAGCCCTTTGCTGCGCCTCTGTCATACTGCGGAACGATCGGATCACAGTTCACCGGGAGATCAAAGCGGCAGAATCACGCGGACGCCGGGTTCCAGGTTACGAATTTGAAAATAAACGGCTGGTAAGCGACCAATCACGCGCGAGCGCGCCAGAACGTTCGTCTGTCGCGCGACCGGCGGCACCGGCGCGACTCGAAATCGAAAGCTCGAAAGAAAAGCGCGTTAAGCTCGTATCACATTGACGATTGCGTCTACGTTTGCGTCTACGTCTTTTGACCAATCAAAACGGAAATTGCGTATTGCAATCGCCAGCAACTACTTTCTGATTGGTCAAGAGACGTAAACGCAAACGTAGACGCAATCGCCAAACGCTAGTGTGATACGAGCTTTACGTGTTCGGCGAAGCAGCACTTCACATTCTTCACATGTTAAAACTTCTAGAATCTAGATATCTAGAACATGTAATTTTTATATTTATGAAAAAATTATTGCTGAAGTTTAAAAATGTCCTGAGAGCGTAGGGACAATTTCTGATCTAATTATATCTAAAAAAGATTTTATAAATTGTAGCTTGTGGAAAATAAAATGTAGTCGTGCGTGAAACAGAATGAACGGAATGCACTCTTTAACGTATACGTCTAGGGGTCGATTGTGTATCTTGAAACGAGGTAAAAATTACAAAAGTTAACAAATTTTATTAGATTTCGACAAATAAAATCGTAGATACGCTAGTGAATTTTCTCACATTTGTAATTTTTACCTCATTTCAAGATACACAATCGACTCCCTCTGTTCACAGAGAAAAGACCAATCGCGTGTTAACGCAGAAGACGCCATATTGCTACATCGTTTTACGTTAGGCTGAGTTTCCACTGAGCACATCACGCGTCGCGTCATCCGAGTTAACCAATCAAAACATTCCATTTTGATCTCGTTACAAATAATGTAAAATGGGATGCTTTGATTGGTTAACTTTTGATGACGCGACGCGTGACGCACTCAGTGGAAACTCGGCCTTAGACATGTGGATTGGTCAATCCCTTCCGGCGCGTACGTGTCACGCGGAAGCTCATCTATTAACATCACGCAAACTCGGACCGGGCGACTACAGCGCCACAAAAGCCACGAGTGGCAGTGGAGTGGAGTGGAAGTGGAGTAGAGGCCGGCACGAGAGCATCAGAGGAAGCAAGCGACGTTCGTCGCAATCGTCGCATTCGTTCATTTGCGATTGGAATACGTATCCCAGCGTATCCGGCATCATGGTTAACGTTGAGGAAATGTTCGTTCTTGGCCTCGTGTTCGACTATTTAAAGAAGAAAGATGTGTCGTTGGCGACTGTCTTCCAAAAGAAGACAAAAGCGGTAAGTCGCGGAGGTGGCGGACGCCGTGCGCCATGCGGCGCCGGAACACCGCCATGCTCCTTAACCACGTGGGTGTGCAACGCGTCCAACGTAATTTCTCGATTATTTTTACCGTTGCCGCCTCGCGAATTCCTAAATATTGCATGTAATCGGCAATAATTGCTTTATCAATGCTTGTATCTTTCAGCCGGCTCTATCAAAAGGATGTCCGACGATAATAGAAGTACTTAGGTATTTCCAAAGGAACTCGCCTAAAAAGGTCTCGATCGTTGCGCAAAATAAGAGTAGCAGCTCGGATTCGAGCTCGGAAGGTGAAGAGGAAACTGAAAAAAACGTTACACAAGTTAACGGCAAAAGATCGATAGTAGAAACAGTACCTCTTAAAAAGGTAGCGGAATCTTCCTCAGAGGATTCTTCCAGCGAGGATGAAGAAGAACAAGCTCAAAAAGCAACAAAGAAAGCAATTACAAATGCCAAGGCTCCTGTTGCGCAGAAAGAGGAGAGTTCTGATGAAAGTTCTGATGATGAGGAATCACCAAAAGTTCCAACAAAAGCTTCGCTAGAACCAAAAACAAATAACCAAGCAAAATCTGGCCCTATTTTGAAAGCAGCAAAAGCAGTTTTAAAAGCGGTTCAATCATCCAGTGATTCATCTTCCAGCGATTCATCGTCTAGTAATGTTGCCACTCTTCAACAATTGATAAACCCAACTACCAAACAGCCGGTGATGCAGACATCCACGCCAAAAGGCGCTATTTCTAAAATACAACCACAAAAACAGAATAAACCGACAACAGCACAGTCGGTTACAAAACGGGAATCGTCATCGAGCGAAGAAAGCAGCGACGAAGAGGAATCGACGCCGCAAAAACCAGCTTTTAGTAAACCAACAGTGCCAGCAAAACGAACTGCCATGGAAATGTCTTCGAGTGAGGGTAGCAGTGAGGAGCTTGCTAAGAAGAAGAAATCTTCCTCGAGCGAAGAAGAGAGCAGCGAGGATGAGCCTAAGACAGTTACGTCAAAGGCAGCTGTAATTTCAAAGGCACAAAATCAGAGTAAGCCGGCGCCAGCAAAAGCAGTTAAAAAATCAGAATCGTCATCGAGCGAAGATAGCAGCGACGAGGAGGAACCTACACCGAAAAAACCAATTGCTAATAAACCAACAGTATCGATAAAGTCTACCACCAAGAAAGAATCTTCGAGCGAAGATAGCAGCGAGGAAGAACAGTCTGTTAAGAAACCAGTCTTGGCAGCTGCCGCTAAGAAAGCAGCTACAACAGCTGCCCCTAAGAAAGAAGAATCTTCCTCAAGCGAAGAAAGTAGCGAAGATGAATCTCCTGTCAAAAAATCAATTCCCGCTAAACAAAATGCCGCTGATAAAACTGGTTCTGTAAAGAAGAACGATTCGTCAAGTGAGGATTCGGAGGAAGATTCCGATGAAGAAGAGAAACCAACGGCAAAGACAGTAACAAAACCAGCGATCGGTAAAACATCGAAGAAACAGGAATCGTCTAGCGAAGAGGATTCGGAAGATGAGGCACCAGCAGAGGCACCGGTCAAAGCAGCTACCAAGAAAGAATCCTCGAGCGAATCTGATTCAGATGCCAGCGACTCCGATGAGAAACCAAAAGTTCAGACGCCGGCTAAAGGACAAAAAAGGAAACACACCGACAAAAATGAGGAAAAACCACCAGCAAAAGTTGCAAAAAATGACTACACCAACTTTGTGAAAGCTAATAGTAGCTTAAATGGAGATAAGGTACGCAATGTTTTCGTATAAAATAAAATTTAAAATATTCGTTGCTAAATTGAATAGAAAGTGATCAACGTGATAAAGGTATTTGGAATCTTCTTGCCAAAAACTGAGTTCGCTTATTAAAAATATTGGAAATTGCACGCTTTTGTGCAATCACATTGATCACATATCCATCAAACATTCTCTTGCTCGCTTTCTGAATGCAACCATTACTGCGATGTTTAAGTAACAATTAAACGTAGTTACTACTTTGAAAGAATGATATAATGAAACGCTTTCTTATTATCTGTATGATTTTTATTTAGCTACAGAAAAATCGTACGTATCAACGCGTGAAAAGCGACAACATCGAATTGGATCCTAAGTTGGCTAATAATTCCTTCGAGGCAAAGGTAAATGCTCGGAAACCGTCCGAGAGGCGTAGGTCACTCGCCCTTTTTATAAAAAGCTTGAGACCATGTTTCCGTGCATTCACCGAGTTTATCAAAATTTTAAGATCTAAAGCAAATAAAAGCAAGAAGAAAGAAGAGAAATTAGTAGCTTTATAATAAGCATATTTCCAATGTGGGCGATTGACCTATTCCTCTTTTGTTTTAGGGTGAAGATGAAGACGATAACAGTTTTAAAAAACAAAATTCGGAACGTGGCGGATTCAGGGGATTTAGAGGCGGTAGGGGGGGTTACCAAGGAGGACGCGACGAGGGTGGTCGTGGCGGTTTTAGAGGCGGACGCGGCGGCGACCGGGGTGGCCGTTGGAACAACGATGGTGACAGGGGTGGACGTTGGAACAACGATGGTGATAGGGGTGGACGTTGGAGCGGCGGCGGTGATAGGGGTGGTCGCGGAGGTCGCGGTGGTCGCGGTGGTTTTAGGGGCGGTCGCGGTGGTGGTAGAGGTGGCGGTAGAGATAGTTTCGACGGTAGAAAATCTTGGGGCGGAAATAATAGGGATGGCGATGGACCGAGGAAATCTTGGGGCGGAAACAATAGGGATAACGATGGACCAAGAAAATCGTGGGGAAACAATGAAAACAGCGGTAGAGGAGGTTTTAAGGGTAGTTTCGATAAAAAATCTATCGACATCTCGGCGCCACCTCAAAATAAAAAAATCACTTTTGACGATTAATATTAAATAGATTGTATATAAAGGTGAGGGAAAAATCATGATTACACACATTACTACAAGGATTTAATCTTTCAACCTTTAAGAAAAATGTAAAGATATGATATTTAACGTCCATTTTTTTTCCCTCAACAGAGAGGTGCACGAGGATCGTGGGGAGAACGCGCTAATGAAGTGCTGAAATTTACGAAAGGCAAGAGGTTCCGACATGAGAAGCAAAAGAAGAAGCGTGGTTCTTACCGCGGCGGGCACATAGATACACAAGTTAATTCCATTAAATTCGACAATTAAACAGTTATACTTTATAATTCTTTCTTACGACCATATTTAGATCAGTAAAATACTTAGTTAAGTTTAGTTAAGTACTGATTTTACACTGTATACATGTAACAAAATATATAAGACAGCTGTTGTCCAATATTTTAAAGAAAAGACTAAATGTAACGAGTTTGGTTAAATGTTCACTGATGTATAATTGCAGATAAATTTAAACCGCGTGTACCGTATATAACTAAAATTAATAGAACTTACAACTAGAATGGAAGCTAGTGAAATATCGAACATAAATTAACTTATTTGGCGTAATATGTGTATAATATCTCATCGAGTTACGTGTTTACGTTTTACGTTATATAATTTTGTTTGATATATAGCTATATGTACTTTTAATCTGTACCATTATGCGTTCAGCCGAATTTGCCGTTATTGGAGAAAATTCACGTTATTGGACACGCTATTACCAAACAGTATATACTTTATAAAATGTGTTCCTTATTTTCGCAATTATTGATGTTTGCAATTATTTTTTCTATGTGTATGTCATGAAAGTTTGTTAATATTGTCGAAGATACCTCGCAAATGCTGTAACAACACGAGGATATGTTTCTAAATATAAATTACATTATAACGAGTACTAATACGTTCTTTTTAAAACACTTGATAGTAATAAGTTTTACAGAATTTATTTTTAAAGCTCCTATATACTGGCTCGATTGTCACGTCTACATAAAGTAATGTTGCTCGGATTAACCTACCTTATTAATTATTCTTCATTAAAAATTAAAACAATTATTAATTATTTAATAACAACATGGACTATATGTCTATTTTATATTTATTTGTCTATTCTTTGAGATTTTTATTCAAGAAAATTTATGCTATGAATGTAATCTGTAATTTTAATTTTACGATGCAAGAATTTTTGTTAATTTGAACAAATTTTAATATTATTTTCTGCTTGATTTCATTTTTAAAATTTTTTCAAAAAAATTCTCTTAATAATAAAGCTATTATGATTAGTGCGTCATAAAAAATTAACTAGTAAAAAGTTCTTGTGTGATAAAAAGTTTAGCACGATATAATTCCGTTTAAAAAATACATTACTTTCAGTTGAATATATCCGATAGCTTTATAGCTCTATTAAATTCAAAAAATTCCATAAAAAATTGAAATTTTTTCGTTTATGTTGAACACTAAATATTTTCTCGTCGCAGCCCGCGTACTATTCTGTATTTTAATCAATACCGATAACAGTGATAACAGAATAAAAACCAATTTTTTATTTTTAAGAAATTAATTGTTGCTTTTTTAAGAGCAATAATTTTTTCCAAAAAGACCCGATTTCCTCTCGGTCGTTCTAGTATAAAAAAAACTTCATCAGGCTCAATACGTTTCCCGACCTACCTGAAAAAGGGATTCATGGGAGAGCCTACCCTCTTTCACATCAAATTGTCTTCTTTCTCCACCAGTAAGCGGAAAAAGGTTTAGAGGCAGAATATATAGGGGCCAGTATCCCCAGCTAGAAAGGAAGAAAGAGAAAGAAAGATCCCCTCTTTCGCCCCGACTCGCTGCCCAAGCACAGAGAGCGGTTACTTACGATTCTACAGTCAACCTCTGGACATCCACCTGCGAGGACGGAGGTGCTCGACCCCACTCGACATCCGGTGCAGTGACATGAACGGTGTTTAAGGAAGAGAAAGAGAGAATCGTGTGCCCTAATTCTCTAATATTCCCTTTTTCGGTATCTATAGCTTTTTTTTTACTTACCCGGTCTCTCGAGGACAGTCTGCTTGATTTAATGTAACGTGGAGATTGCCGGACAGGCCGAGGAAGGACTTCTAACTCAAGCTGAAACAAATGTTCCTCACGGTGAGTAATATACAGATTACACGTTTCTTCAAAATTGTAATTCAAATTTAACCACCACCGGCCGATTCTCGCAATTGATTCGTAAATTTCTGCTCGGACGATTAACTTTGTGAAAAAAAGTAAAAATTTTAGTCTAAATTCATGTAAATTCGAAACAAAATTTAGATCGATGGACCATTTCGTAAATGAGGTTCGGCGGATATAAAATCCACCCCTCGTAGGTAAGAGGGATAGATTTTACAACCGCCTGAAATTTACGCGAACAGTAGACGAAAGAAGAAAGACTGAAATACTTTTCCCAAAGAATTAAACGTTTTATTTCATTAAACTTGAAAGGCCAGGTGGTGCTTTGAACGTTTATTATCTAAGGCACAACGTAAATGCATAACATTTAGCCGCAAGCCGCGGATTTTTCTCGAGGTATGCGGCTACAAATAAGTTACAGTTTAATCTTGCTTTTTCTACTGGCGGTCGAAATTCTTTTCGCTTTACAATATACAATCATGAATCAGTGACTGACACAAAAAATTAAAGTGTCGAATCAACAATTGATTGAATCAGATTTCAAATAAAACTATTTATTTAGATATATTTTACTTCATATTTTTCTGATATTAGGTAAATCCTTGGTTTCAGGATCAAATCTGCATTTGATATCTGAATTTGCGGAATAAATTAAGATTTGTTTACGCCAATTTTTCGGATATTATTTTATATGGTTTATTTTGTTAGTGTTAAAAACACATTGCATCTTATATAACTCATTATTTGCTTCTTTTATAAAATATTTTTATATAAAATAACGCGGCAAGATATTTGATTGTTACGGAGTTAAGTCAAGATTGTTTTAGTTTGAGATTTGTCGTATCATCAGCCGCAAGAAAGAATTTAAGCCTCGCGGTGACAGTCAGAATAATTTATTCATGAAACAAACCTCCGAAACGCATGTACCGTTATCGAACACAAGGATAAGTAAACGTACGACTCGATAATGTTCGACTTGTGAGAGGAAACGACGCGACGTTTTGGATGAATCGACGTTACCGTTAGATTCGGCGACTCATCGTGTATGGACCGTATAGATATAGAGAATCTGTTTCTCAAAATAAACGCAAAAACGGAATATCTTCGAATCTTATTGCCCAATTAACTCTGTTAACAACTTTGTTCCTTAATTAAATTTCTCATTAATCATGGAAAAATAGGGAACGTAAATATATAAAATAGATAAAAATAGATATAAATTATTTGTTTTACTAGTAAATTAATAGCATTAAATAATTGAAAAATATATTTTATTAATTATATACTTTATTTGGAGAACGATACAAAGAATTAATTGTTGCAAAAATTATGCAAATTTACCCTGATAAAGAACCGCGAGAAATTTGAACAAATTTTAGTTTCAAAATAAAATATATTACTACATTCAATGATTATATTCATCAAATTAGTTTAATTTTGACGACGTATAGACAAGAAACAAAAAAAAATTATAAATTACCGATTTCTGTTGATATAATAATATAATTGATAATATAATTGCTAATGTGCACAGAAGAAGATAATCTATTTTGCGACAAGAGCGTATTTCTGAGATAACAGATTTTACAGATCGTTGTCCTACACGTCGCCGTCGTAAAGATGAGAAAGAGGGAGAAGGCGATTCTAATTTGAGTAGTAACAGTACACTTACGGCCGGCCGAGACGATTACAGAACGACGCCGCGACGTGAGGAATCACTGCCTATCGAATAATCGTCGTCCCCAGTCCCCATCCGAAATCGCCGCCAGCATGGGAGCCGGCGGTGATCCCGATCAGCGGGCTCTTCAGGTTCAGGCGATTCCCACGTGCGCGTCGCTCCTCATCTTCTTTTTACGATCGTCTGTCACGACGCGTTTAAACGACATTTATATATGCTTAAACGTTATTAAACTAAGTGATTTTAAGTGCAATTTGTAATTATTAGCATTATATTAATTGCCTCTGCTTTTTGATAAATTTTCTCAGGACGCAAAGCTATAATGATCGTTAGGATGTGAATTAATAATCGTGGAACGCTTTTTACACACAAGCATTTCTATATTAATGTGGTAACTATTTATACGTGAAATAGATTATTAATTATACAATATATGTTACATAATTATTTCGTTATGCGGATAACGAAAATAGAATATATGAAAAGAACGAAAAGAGTTAATGATTTACATCATTAAGTGTATTAAAAGGAGACTATTATGTTAAAGAAATGATTTCACATCCGTATTTATCAGTTTCCCAACGTAAGATATCACTTTTTTTCGTATATATTCGCTCTTTCGATCGATCACATTGTAAATTAGAACTATGTACTAATTGTATATACACGCCGCGTCTCACCGTGACTCTCGTGCGAAAAAATCCAGGGAGGAACGAGAGATCGTAAAAAGGACCGCGACCGCATCGCGGATCCGAGAACGCGCCGGCAGGCGTGAGAACGCTTTTAATTAACCGCAAGGTCGCAACGGTGGAGTAAGTAACGTTATACAGCGGGACGTATGAACGTATTGGAACGGAAGACATGGGATCGCGGAGAGATCTGGTTAGCTCTTTCTCTCTTCCTGCGATCCTTTTCCGTCGCGCCGACCTGCGAAATGAATCGCGCTACGGGAAGCGACGTCGGGACTGTGATTAATCGTAACGTTAATCGAGCACCTATCGCGCCTTTTCCGCGCTTGCAAAAAAGAGACGCGGGGCGGTCGCTCGGCTGTTGTTACGCTCCCAGGGCGGATAATGTCAAGAATGCGCGACGGAGCGGAAAGAGCAATCAGGGACTCGAGGGAACTTCGGCGCGTAACGAGAGTAATCATCCTTTGACCGTTGCGCGAATTTATTACGTACAATCATGCCGGGATATTATCTCTCTTTCGGCTTAACTTCGTGTTAACGATATATATATCTTAAGCGCATCTTCGACATATTGCTCAACCACGCGGCCGTAACGGGCCCAATCGAGATCTCCTTCTAATTTTCTCTCAATATCGTTTTAATCGGACTTAATCCGGAGAGTTTATAAGCTATAACGATTACGCGGTAGACGGGAAAGATCGAGGAGATCAATGCCGGGATCAAGGATTTGTCGAGGTAACAGGTATGTCGAGTGCGAACACGCGCACATGCCCGTCTCTCGACGGTCACGGCCATTGACCAACCTTGGTCGGTATCCGTTAATGATTTCCTTGCTCTTCCATTGTTGACCGTGGCTCGTTATTCAAGCGCCTGTCAAACGTCAATCAAATCGGTTCTCCAAGAAGCAATAATCTTTCCCAAGATTTTTATTGACCGCGCTAAAAATTACGATAACTTGAAACACAATGCGAAAATCTGACGCTAGAAGACTGAAAGCGTTATTTTTTACTCGTACAAATCACAACTAATTAACAGATATTTTGCTGGAATTGACTAATTCACAACAGAAGAAATATAAAATTCAAAACCCTAAGAAGTTTTACGCTTTCTGAAAGATTGATAGCAATGAGCAAACTTTTAAACTTTGATTTTGAGAATTAAATATTTCTTTGTGAACAACGATCTAATTAAATAGATTTTTTAGTAAAATCAATTATATCTTGTGAATTGATATCTTATAAAGTGTCTTCAATAACTACTTTTTTTCAAATCTTTGTAATCTTTGTGTCTTTATAATCTGTTTTCTCTTCCACAAGAAGCAGCTCTGTAGAACTGGTCTTCTTAATCGTGCCAGGGTTAATTGAATCTCGTCCGACGAGGACTCGCGTCAACATTGGAAAGCAATACCGCTTATTATTCCGCGTTGTAACGCGAACGCCGGTACACGTGAAAATTGCAATCAAAATGCAACACGTCGTGCGCGCGTCAAGCTTCTTTCCAAACGCGCGATCGCTTTCACTCGTCCTAGCGGCGCATAAGCAGCGCATAACGGATTTTACACGGTCCCACCAACCTACAAACCTCGAACTGCATATAGGAAGTCACGCATCGATTATGCGATCGCTAATCATTATTCCTAATTCGCGCTCTCGCGTCCCGTCGTTCACTCTCTCCTTGTCTTTCTCTCTTTCTCTTTTCTCTCTCTCTCCCACTCATGTATGTCGCGACTCTTATTGTACCACATACGAGGCGTCGCGACAGGAAAAAAGAATAATTCTGACATAATTTTTTTTCTTCACGGTTGAACTTCACCCGCGAAACGGAAATCCTTTCGACGCGGATTCCGAGAGCGAAATGATGGCGAGCCTCACGAGAACCGGTGATTTCCCGGCGATTATCCGTTACATCAAATTACTCGTGCGTACGGTGCTCATACCGTGAAAGGATTAATTAGAGCGATATACCGCCATAACTGAGAAAATATGACCGAAGCTTAATGGGAATTAGATATATATTCACTTTCTGATAAAATTGCAACTTTTTTGCACGCGAAGCACGTATGTAGTATTTTATAGACTTATAGACTATGTAGAAATCAGATATCAGCAGTTACGACCACTATTACACTTCGCAGAAAGATGAATTAATAATAAATAAAAACTTGACTATAAGAGAAGAAGAATTTTTTTAATCGCGTTTTTTAGAAAATTATCTAAATGGACGTTTGTGTGTGTGTGTGTGTGTGTGCGTGCATCCTTTTGCGTCTGATTTCACAGGAAATACTTATTGTTTTCCCATCTTCAGCAGCCACGCTCTGTTGAGAATGAATGGACCGTTTATGAAAATGAACTATCCATTCATTGTAACTCTAGGATTCGCTTTGAAGAGTAAGTATTTCGAAAATAATGACTCGCTCAAACACAACGGCTTCGATTCAGGAAGCCGTTGCGGAATTTTCTCTCGAGCTGTGAAGTGCGTGCTCACACCTGCGTGTGTCATTTACTCTTGCTCTTGACCTCTTGCGAACTCGAGTTCCAAGACCGCTCGCTCACTCGCTCGCTCGCTCGCTCACGCGTTCTTCCGTCGCGCTCTGCGCTTCTTATCCAAGCCTATACGTATGCTGACGCAGCATGTGTGAGTTCATCGCCAGCGGTATCAATCCTTATTAACAAGAAGATAATATCCTCCCGGCAGGATTTCGCTCGCGGCGAAGCGCTTCTCTCTGCGACTATCACTTTATCTAATGCGGCGTTACGTTGCATTGACGATCTTTTGCTGCAAATGATGCTAGAATATCTACACATAATATCTAGTATAGAATATATCTAAACTATCACTTTAGACGTTGTACGTATAGTTATCCAATGATGATTTGAAATCTGAAGACGAGTGTTCAAGTCATGAAACGTGACTTTTCAGAAGTTAAAATAAATATAAAAGCTCTCTTATGTCCAAGGAATATTATTAAAGAACATGTCACGTTCAAGACACAACAACTACTTCGACTATCATTCGTTTTTAAAAGATCCATATTCTCTCTTTGTTTTCAGATGTCCAGGTATCTCGGTCTGATACTTATTATCACGGCTTTTACGTATGCATACGGTGCCAGTAAGTGCGAGGGTAATGGTCTAGGTTTAAAATATGTTTGGGGAGACGCACTAACTGATTCCAATGACTGCATAGGACCGAATAACATGCAGTACCCCTCGTAAGTAGTAAAAGATCTACACATTTTTTCACGCTTAAAATAAGGTAAATTGCACACGACAAATTTAATCTAAGAGACACTTCGAAGAGATGCTGAAATCTTTTCCAAGCATTTCTGTTATCTGGTAACTTACATTCTCCGATTGGTAGTTTGAGTAGTTTGCAGTTTTCACTGAATGATAAACATCAATTTCTCATATTATTTGTTAAAAAAAATTCAAATGATTTAATTACTACGGCAAGATTGAAACAAAAAACAATTTATTCAGCAAAAATAAATTTGTTCACGAAATGTCATGAAATCTAAATCTACGCGAGATCGAAATCTTTATCTTTCTCAAATAATCATAAGATATAATTAAAATATTTTTGTTACAAATATTTCTTGATAAAATACCGATCTACGGTTAAGATATCATTAGTTGTTTTCCACTTTAATTTGCTCCGTTGATGGGAGAACATCTCCAGGATGAATTAAATACACAACGGCAACAACTATTGGACTGTGTTTTGAGAGGCAGATTATACTCAAACTATCGAGACCGGTAGCATGTAAGAGACGATCTTAATAATACCTAAGCAGAATGCAACGGATGTTATGTGTACCGTTCTCGCAGCGCCGCGATATCGAGGAGCTTTAAGAACCTCTGGGCGGGCAGTAGTCGAACCGCGCGATCGCATCAGCCACGGACGATTGATCCCGAACTGACGAGGCAGGCGCTTTTGCACAACTACAAAGCGGCTCACGGGGATTATTCTATCGCCGGAAGCTCCCGGAAAGGTAAGTCCGCGTTTAACGTGAAACGTATTACAATATTCTCTTTCGTCTCCAATCCGCGATAAAGAAAGAGATCGATATCCTCGATTTTCTTCATCTCGTTTCTCCGCTGCACCGCTCGCTATTTTTCACGACCTTATCTAAAATGCAGCAGTTAATTATATCGTGACCCAATGGAAGTTGTTTACATTCTTGTTGATCTTCTGTCAACCGGTTTTATATCTGCACGTGCAACTTTGCTTCCTCGTGTTTCGTGTTAAAGTTTATTTAATTCTGCGCCGAGGTATATGAACGAAAGAACGAAGGCTAAGAAATAAAATCCACTTTAAGTTTCTGTCAACTTCTGGGTAAATGAATAAATCTCCCCTATCTTAATTGAATAAATTGAGAACGAGTATTAAATCACGATCCACAAAAACAAATGTGTTTTGATTCTACGATATGTGAAGTATATGAACGGAAACTTAGAAATGATAAAATCAATAACCACACACACTTTTGCTTCTCTTAACTTCTCGGTGTACATATGAAATAAATCGCTCCTATCTCGATCTAATAGATTGAAATAATTAAATCACTATACGTCATACATAGCGATATTTCGACGAGCAGATACATTATAAGAAATAGTAAAAACTAATAAGAAAATTGTTTTATTACTTGCTTCAACTTCGAGGAAACGGCTTCCAGGACTTATCGCGAAAAAAAAGCCTATTCCATTGAACGCGAAACCGTACTCGCAAACGCGAATTATCCGGGAAGCGCGAGCGCTCTTAACTTGCTTCGGTATTCGCATAAAACGACCCTGTTCCCACGCAGCCGAAGACCTCGAAAAAAAAACCTAGCGGCGCGCACGGCGGGGAACGGCGCTCGGGGCCCCGCGAGCGGGCCCCACGAAAATTGGAACGGCCGGTCGCGAGGTGTGGGTACAGCCGATCGGCGTGCACAGCCCGTTTACGATCGCGGCTCCACTCGTTGCCCTGCAGCCTTCAGTTATGCGGCTGTCCTGACACGAAAACCCGCTTCTAAACCGACTTCTAATCACTTCGTGGCCGGTCGTCGGAGTTTCTGCGAAATTCGCGCGGCCGAAGAGATGATCCGCGCGGAGTTTTCCGATCGAGGGGCGGAGGGGTGAAGGGGGGCCACCGCGTCGTGGTGCTCGATTCTCCCGATAATAGTCGGTCGGTGGCGCACCGATGGGCCAGCAATAAGGCATCGTGTTATCCAGCCAATACAGTTATCGTTCCTTGTGCTCATAACGGGACCTGCCGGCGACCCACTCGTTTCGAGCATATATGCTCGTCTTGAAATGCTCGACGAAGGCCGCTGATTCCGAGAGCGAATCTCGACTTAACGTCAGTCGTTCCCCGACATTACTCTATTTTCAGTAGGTCTCAATCGATAGACTTAATCACTTATTGATGATTAAACATGAATTGAGCTTGCATTATAAAGAATTTATATTACAATATGAATATAAAGAATTTATTTTACATTATTATTCAGCTAACAATTATTTGGAAAAAGCATTATCTCAAATTTAAAATAAGCATTTAAGATAAAAATATACTTAATACTTATAGAAAAAAATTATGTTGACTTCCTCTCTAAAACTTCTACAGAAGAACGAGTTATCTTATCTAGAAAAAAGTTTTTGCCACTTGCAATTTTGTCTTTGGCACTGATGTAATCATAGGCAGAAAATTGAACGATGAAGCTTTTCGCGTGTTCTGAACATTGGCGTGTTTAATAATCTATATACTTAGTAAAGATGCTGTTTTTAATCTTTATAATTTTAATAGAGTCCCGTATGAATCCCGTATTCTTGCGGGACCATCTCATATTATACCGTATTATAACGTTCTAGAGCTGTCAATAAACCGCAATAACGTTTTATGTCAGGTATACATATTTGCGCATAAGTATAAGACTCCGGAGAATACGATGGTCCGCGTCAAGATTATAATAACGTATTAGGCTACAATTGTGTGCATCATAACGAGAAAAAATTAAATTCTCACGAGATGATCGCCACTGGGTTTTCAGGCCGTGTGATTTCCGCGAAGGAAAGTTGCGGCTCGCCTGCCAGACTCTGTAAAACAAGGTACAATACCACGGCGCCTATGTACGGCATCAGCCTCACCAGTGGACAACCAGTAACGATCGTACAGAAGTTTCCCGATCTCCTGCAGCAGGTCGTCTTCGAAGTCTGCGAGTGAGTATCGCGACTGAGATTCTCGGAGAATTTGTAATCAACTTTGCAAATTTCCGCGATTTTTTAATTTTTTGCATCAAATTTTTTAGTAAATTTCAAATGAAGCTTATGCTCGTATTTACACTCAAAGTTTTTCAGCCTGAAATTAACCGAAAGAAAAACTTTTATAATTTATCTTTTAGAGAGATTGCTAGGCAAAGTCTTTTTGTTTTCAATAAAGAATACGTATCTTTGTAGGCTTGCTAAAAAATTGGAGTAAAGAACATAAAAAATGTAATTTTAATTTCAACCGTATCTAAAATATTTGATTTTTGAGCATTCTAAATGCGCTTTGCTATAATACTCTTTCTGCAGTTAATTTATGCAAATGGGATTTGTGCACGGTCAACTATTTATCGACACGATATATTGCACGAACTTCTGAACAGTGATTTATAAGAGCAGCGGGACATCGGACATCGGACCATATTGAAATTCACCTGAACCGCCCGCGCCCGCTCGCTGAATTAATTCGTATGTGGCACAGTAGGACGAACTGGTTTACAACTGTGTGTTCGTGATCGACATGCGCCTACTTTTGATATCTTTTTTATGCAAAATCCCTCCCCAGATAATTCAAACATAGCTCTGTTAGCATGCGGCATCGCTAGCGAATCAATGTTATATGTGCAGTTATTAAATAGTGAAATTAAAATTCTCTCGCAATTATTAGTAGAAATATACGCGAAGAATATACACGTATTTTTCTCCTATCGGATATGCATCGAAGTATATCTGAGAAACTTATGCAGAAAGATATAAAGTCACGCGAGAAAATTATTTTGAAGAATTTCCTCTTTTTCATTTACGTGTTGCTCGTAAAGAAACATCTCCTAACGACAGATACGAATGTCGGTAACGTACAACTTCAAGCATCTTTGCACACGTCCTGCTGTCTCGCGGTTTACATATTACACACGAAGTTATGTCAGCAATGGCTTACGTATTCGAGCGCTACGGAATCAGCCGGCGCAAACGCAACCCATAAACAGCCTCTCGTCCGGTGAACGAACCCAGCAGAATCTCTCTCATCGGTCGGTTGTTTCAGATCGAAGGAATGCGACGTGGTTCACGGCGAGTGCACGCAGACCTACGTACCGTACCTGTTTCTGGTGATTCCCCTCGGTCCGGTGACCTTGACCGGCCAGGATTACGTGCTGGTGGAGAGCGGTTGCGTCTGCAAGCCGAGAAATTCGGCTAGCGCGTCCAGCGACACGCCGCCGGCCGTTCCGAGCTTCTAATCGTTCGTCAAGTCCGCAAGTCACGAGCATCTTCTGATCGTTCTCTGTTCGGAACGACAGGACTCTCATTCTAAATACCGCGGCCCTTCTACCAGGACGCCACGGTACAGAGCGATTTCGGGCATTAAAGTCCCCGAATGGCTCGACAATCTCATCGATGCGACGCTAGAGTAATAACTATTTCTTGAAAGAAATCTCTCCGGTAAGAGTGTGTGGATGATGTACATGAAACGAACTCTGGAGTGAACGGGATGAATCTGTCTTCTACTTCTTTTTTTACCAGAAGACATCGTGCAACTCCACATAATTTGTCGTCTACATTGGTCTCTTAATTTAATCGATTATCAGCTATTTCACAAACTAGCTAGGTATTAATATCACTATATAAAATATTTATTATTAATTTGTTCAATATTTTGTTTCATTTATTTATAATTTTTTCTATAAAAGAGCTTTTTCTCCTATTATATCTTTCTCTTTAATTTTGAAGGTTTTTGAAGATACATTTGGCTTCGGAACTGGAAATGTTTTGTACAATCAAACTAAAACAAATGTTGGCTGATAATAGATTAACGGCCACTGAACAAAGTATATTGAAGATTTCTTGAAAGAAATATTTCTAACGATTGAATTACCCTTCGTCACAAATCGCAGTCCCTTGAGTTATCTCGCATTTGTGACGTTCGGTCAATTTATGGGTCGACGAATTCTCGTCATATTATCACGACGACGAGAATCCGTCGTCTGACACGAACTATATACGGAAGATAAGACTGTCGCAGTTGATGGATTTCGTCGACGATAAATATCTCTCTAAACGAATTTACATATCGTCCCCTTTCAAGACACCTGAAATATACTTCTAGGCTGATACTCGGCGGATGAGTCAAGCCAGTCTGCTCATTTAGTTACACACGAGCCGTAATATAAAACGTGTTTCTAATCGAAATCTGCTCACGGGTAGCCGGAGTGTAAGGACGATTCGAGCATCATCCTCCTTCCGCTCTCATCCTTCTCTCTTTCTCGTGCCAAAAGCCTCGGCGGGACACATATTATTCCGGCCGGCAAATGAAAAAGCAAATCGGGGCAGTGGACGGCCGCGCCGTTTCGCGGAATCCGGTCTCGGAATTCGATCGAGTTCACTAGACTCGCCGCCTCCCCGAGCCGGTTTCGAGCAGGTGCAAATGGCGTTTCAGGTGAGCCTGGGTGTCCACCGACAGGAGGAACGTCGTGTCCACAGGCTGACCGGCTCCCTTAAGCGCTAAGTCGTCGTAAAGTTATATCACGCGCGCTATTATATCGCAACACCGGGCAACACGTTTTGCGTTAGAATCGACCGAGGATCGTCCGACCTGTGTGCGAAACGGACGCTCGTCGTAATTTATCTTTACGACATATCGTATACATTTTTAAGAATCATCCTGTCGGCCAGGATTTCCGTGTCGTTCGAGGATAATGAACGGCGAAACCCGGATCCACGTTGTTGTACACGTCGTGCAAAGACAAAGCATAGCGGCGTCGAGATTTTAGATTTTCTAGAGGAAATGTAACTGTTTCTTTAGAGATAATTTACTCCAGAATCTATGTTGTTGTTTGCTGATTAAATTAAGTATCTTTATAATCGTATCTGTGTAAATCTGTCCAATGTAAAGATTAATCCGAGAATAACATTCTGTTATTTCTGCACTGAGAAAAAAATGTTGTAAATTTGACTAAACTCGTTTAGTTGTAGTGATTTGTTTAATGCAAATATTAATATATTTAAATCAAATATACGTGAGTAATATCAAGAAATTCTGAATCTATTTAAATATAATATTTTTTGAATTAACAAATGTTAGTTTGACAGCCCGTGACCGCTGCATTTAGTTGAATCAAATAATATTTCTTTGAATCTACGATTTTTTTTTCTCAGTGTGTACAACCTTATTTCTACGAATCTTTTCGACGACACGCGAGTCATTAATTAAGATATTAAATTATCGCTAGTATAAAAACCACCGGACCTATCATGCCACAATAACCAACCCCAAGACGTCTATTAAAAATGCTTAAAGGACGTCTGCAAGACTTCCATATCTTTCCGGCGTTTTTCTTTTCCTTTTTAACACTCCCGTAGCGGTAGCAATTATAGTATAATACCGGCAGTAAGCGTTCTCCATTTACTGGGAGTATGTCATCATGACTTCAGCCTGCTGACCCAGAGAGAAAGAAAGAGAGAGAGAGAAAGAAAGAAAGAGAGAGAGAGGGTCAAGATCATCGTACTACTTCCTGCCCCGCTTGTGTTACGCGCGCGAGTCTCCCCCGACGCGAAAGACTATCGCCCCGTTTGCGCTGTGGGCTCCTCCGAAGAAACCGGACCTCGTAACAAAACCTGCATCGTGACGAACGTATATATACGTATACGTACGTCGAGAATAGAGCGTACCGTGAATTCCGATGAGTCCCGTAATGTACCGTTATCCGTCGGTTCCGCGGGTCCCCCCCTCGTCCAGGCATCTCTCGCTTCTCGCCTGCCTGCTCATCATCCCGTCGTAAATGACGACGAGGATGCGCGCAGCAGCCGAAAGTTAGGGTGAGCGAACGGGGGGAGATTGGGAGTTTTACACGAGCGATATTCTACACGGGACCTTACCGAGTATAAGTCTCGGTCTACAATAAGGGTTTTAAGCTCTAAGCTTTAAGAAATTGTTCAATCACAGTTGAATTTGAGGAGAACAATTGACTGTGATTGGACAATTTCTTAGGCTTAGAACTTAAAACACCTAATGTAGACTGGGCCTAACAGCGAATTCGAAAGTGGCGAGTTTGAAAAAAAAAATCGACGCGTTCCCACGGCGAATTACGCGGGAATGACATAATGCGTTAACGTCTAATCGCGTCGTATACTGAACCGGTTTTTTTTTTTAAGCTAAATCTCGACGATCGCCCGGCTCGCGTCTAAGAGAAGAACGGCAATTTTGAACTTAGATGAAATATAAGTACGTGCGCAATACAGATGGATTACTTCCTCATTTTCCAGTTTGTATTTATAGCCGTATAATACGCATTCATGTATTTATAATTTATTATTAGATTATTACACATTGCAAGCCTCGTAAAAATTTTTTTCCTTTCCTCCTCCGCTTTTTAATTATTACACACTGCTTAATTAATTTTTATTTAATTCTGTGATAATTGAGGTGATAATTATTGCTGCATATTAGAGTACTTAAGTTTACGCCTACATTTTCAGAATAAAATTGACTGGCTAATGAGAAGTTAATTTTTACTTAATTTGGATCACTTCTAATTCGAAGATCATCAAAATTTTTTTGTGACATTTCTTAAGAAAAATCAATTCGAAATTGCTCAAAAAATTTCACTCTAAAGATCGTTGACGTTGACGTTGACGAATTTGAGAATATTCCGAATAGTACGCGTTATAGTGTCATCGTGCAACTTATTACTGGATTATTTCACGTTGTAAATCGTGTTCAGAGTGTATTTCTTCCTTCTTTGTGCTCCTGACTATTTTATGCGTTCCCTAATGGATTTTCCTGTTTTATGCAACTTGAGTAACAGTGGCAACTCTACTACATAACGCGCGATTTGACCGCGTGATTCGTACGTGATTTATGATACATTAAAGAAACACCGCCGAGCCGCCAACGATCGAGATTCCTGGCGCCGCAGACGCAGGCGGAAAGACGCTCGTGTTCTAGCATCCTCTATTTTTAGTACGTAACGGTACCGAAAGAGTTGCATACGTACGCAAATGCGATAACGAGAAATTTTAATACTCCTCTCTACGTGCAAGCGAATACGCGTCTACGAGTCGTAAATAAAAAATGTGCATGCGCGAAAATCGGAACGTGCGAACAAATACGTATACGTTCGATGAGAACGCGGAAAGAAACCAATATTTCCATTGTATTTTTTTTTTATGCGGTTTATTTTAAAGTGATAAATATTAACATTAGTAATTAAATGTTAGTATTATAAATTATTAAATTTTGATTATAATGTTATTATTAAAATTTAATTTAATATAAATATAAATATTTCTAAGAAATATATATCACGTTTCTTCATAATAATTAATTCGCATACGAAATATAGAAATTATGCGTTATTATTAATGTTACTTAAAAAAAAAATAATTAACAATATCAATGAGAGTTGGTAATTATAAATTACAGTTATGTAGATAAATTATCGAGTGAGCATCATGGGTAAACCAGAGGGTAAACTCAACGATAACTGATCGTCGGTAATGTCGGTAATTTTGTGATCGACTTAAATTCAAATACAGCACTAAAAATTCACGTTTTCGCGCGCTGCCGACATTTCGCAGATCCCGTCATCGGCGAAACGCTTTGCTCGATACGCGTAGCTCTCCACTCAATAAGTAATCGCAATCTAAGCAAGATATTTCATATGATCATGGAATAGAATCTCGGAGCGCGCCAAACGCGCGAAATGGCGACCCGCGGCCTCGGCCTGCCGCCGAATATCAAAGAAAATGTAATCGATGACAGTTATATATTACAGAACGACGACACGTACCTGGCCACGTTGATATCGTAACATACTCCGGAGGACAAGGGTAGCTCGAAGAGACGCGGTAAGACGATGTTCCTTGCGACTTCGATCACGCCGAAAGGACCACCGGCGAGAACGCGATGACGCCGCGACGCGACGTAGCGATTGCACGATTGCCGACGAATGTTCAATTAACGCGTCACGACGCACTACGACACTCAACTTTTACGACGATCACACGGAGGCACTCACGATAACTCGTCGCGCGCGAATTTCACTCGCGGATGGCGACGATTCCGAGAGATACCGAGAGATTCGACTGCGCACTGCGCAGATTCCGCGAACCGTTCGCGACGCGTCTACGCGATCCTATGATCTGAATCTATCGGCGAGCGCGAGCGGTACCGCGACTTCCGAGGTACGGGAAACCGATCGAATTAAGTGCGCATAACTTCACGCTACAATTACACCTATTAATTCGTACGTTCTAGTTGCGCTAAGAATTCACTGCGCTGAATATGTATGATAAATATGCATTTCTTTCGGGAGGAAAAAATGCGAAGGCGATAAATGCGGAGAGTGCAACCGAAATAAGTCCAGAACTTCGCTTATACACAAAAATAAAATTCGAGATATCTCAACGCGCAAATGTCAGAAATAATCGGAAAAATAGTAAATTGCTGCAAAACGTATAATTAACGTAGCTAAATATAAAGCTATATGATGCATGTGTATGTATGTACATAAGTACCTGGAAAATATCTTTCGTTACATTTCGATCGGCGAGGAAACAACTTGGAAATACACGCGAGAACGAACCGACCGATCCCGACACTCCCGACACGGATGCAGCTCAAACTTCATACCGAAATCAGCGAGAACGCGAGGCAGCGGTTGCACAGGATTTTAATTAACACGACGATGCTTTAACATTATTCTTATCACGAACATCCCACGGAAACACTCGCGACAATTCCTCGCGCGCGAAGTTTCGCCTTCGGATGGCGACGATTCCGAAAAGTTCCGAGAGATACCGAAAGTTTCCGAGATTCAAATGCGTGATGGGTTTTCGCGAACCTATTGCGGCGCGTTCTACGACTACGATCTGAATTAATCGATAATGCGATATCTCGATTTTCAAGATAGCGAAAGCGTTCCGAAGCTACGAGTTCTGCAACGCTGATCGCATATTTAACAAATTAAATTCGTTCAAATTGCGTTCAACTCAAAAACTTCCTGCGCTTTAATTATTATACGATAAATATGCATTTATAGCTTTCGGCGGGAGAATGCAAACGGCCAATCAGCACGCTCATCGTACTTGGCAATTTACTTAACCTCTCTGTGCCGAAGTGTTTCGACTCTGCAAGTTTCATGTTCTACGGTTACACGTCATTGAACGTTGAGCTGTTGAATGTCGGATGACAGAATCTCGCGAATTTTTGCTGGAGGTTGTTTGGAGACGGATTAATAATCAAAATCTCTTTATGAGAGCAAAATGGAGACGTTGTACCATCAAACCAACAAATTAATACAAGAAACGCAGCACATTTTCTCGCAGCTCAACAGAAAGTCGTCCGACGCGGATCTGCAGGAGGTGAAGCAGGCTATTGAGGACAAAATCAGTCTTATCAACAGGTAGTTAGAGCCAGAATGAATATCGTTT